TGATAATGACGTTATTCAATAAGTAGTAATGTCGCCAGAAATGTTACAAACTCTTATACAGAGCCTTACTATAAAAGCCAATGTCGAGCCATTTTCTCCAAATTTCCAATTAATCACCAGCAAGTGCCATAGAGATAGAAATAACGATCTCTATTCGTTACATAGTCCCCCAGCAGGTTTCTGCAATTTGTCAGTTAGACATGGTTTATGGTTCATTGAACTACAATATTAGAAAGAGAGTTCCACGTGAGAATGTTGATAATTTCAATGAGCTTATTCAAAATGCTCGAACTGCAGAAATCACTCTACTGGAAAAGAAAACTCACGATTCTGTTAAATCAGGCCCCCACAAATAGGCTAAAACAGAAAGGAAAAAGTCTTCATTGAAATGTGTTTATTGCAAAAATTATAGTCACATCATAGAAGATTGTAGAAAATTGAAACAAACTTCTAGACTGGAAAAAACAGGTCGGAAGTCAGAAGATCCGCAAGAAAAAAAAAATGTTTCTAGGGCAATTTCTTGCTAAGGTTGTGGAAAACAAGGTTACATCAAAAGCAACTGTCCAAAGTGTCGAAAATCAGGTTCTTCTAGTAATATTTCATCAGGCCAAATGTTCACTACAAGTGCCAAAGCTGCTGCATTCTTCTATCATTCTTCAGATGTTGATTCTCAAATTTAACCTATGGTTTCAGTCAATATTCTTGGTCATACTGGTCTTGCCTGTTTGGATACAGGAGCAAAACGTAGCCTAGCTAGTGCTGCGCTTATGAAACTTCTCTTGAAAGAAAACGAGTCTTATATTCAACAACAATTGCTGATTTAACTTGCAGATGGCATAGAGAGGACTGTAGCTTCTCTAGTTTTCAATGTTGAAATCATTCTGAATGATAAAATTATTTCAACATCACTTGTTGCCATTCCATATCAATTTTAGGACTTTACTTGGTTTAGACTTCATTGAACTTGCCAATATTGTGATGGACATTCCTCAGGGACAATGGTATTATGCTGAAACTCTACAATTTTCGTATTTATTTGAAGATAAGACTAATTATTTAATAACTACTGCGGAATCTATTCCAATGTTTTCCGTCCAACTGAATGCATCACAATTGAGAGAAAATGAAGGTGTACAACTAAGCTAACCGGAAAAGCAACAAATTGAATTCTTACTGCACCAATATGCTGAATTATTCCCATCCGTTACTGAGCCAACACCATATGCAGAACATACATAAAACTGACTGATGATATTCCAATTTCTGTATCACCTTATCGGATGTCTGAACAAAACAAAAACATATTGAGGGCAGAACAGGATAAGCTTCTGAAAGATGGAATCATAGAAGAATGCGAATCCCCGTATGCTGCTCCAGTTGTTCTAGTACCTAAGCCTGATGGTAGTATTCGCCTTTGTGTCAATTATCAACGCCTAAATGAGAAAACAGTTTCCGATAAATACCAACTTCCTAGGATTGATGACCTATTACACACTGCAAAACAAACAAAGTATGTGACCACTCTTGATTTAAAATCAGGATACCATCAAGTCTCTGTCCGCGAATCTGATCGAGATAAAACAGCATTTATTTGCCCATTTGGAATTTTCCGTTATACGAGGATGCCATTTGGAATGAAAAATGCACCCTCCACCTTCCAAAGACTCATCGATCGATTCAAATCCGGACTCCAAGATTTGACCATATTAGCTTATATTATAGACGATTTGATTGTATTATTCAGAACTTACCAAGAACATTTTTCTGATTTACAACGAGTTTTTGACCGACTTGTAGCTTTCAAGCTTCACCTCAATCAATACAAATGACCTTTTGTGTGCTCCTCTGTGAAGTATTTGGGACACGTAATTACGCTCCAAGGAATCCAACCAGATCCTTCTAAAATCACCACTATTCTGGAGAGACCACCTCCAAAAATGTGAAAGAGCTTTGTCATTTGTCCAAACATGCTCTTGGTTCCGGCAATTCATTTCTTCATTTGCAGAAGTTTCAAAGCCCTTAACCTCCTTAACCAAGAAGAAAGCTATTTGGAAATGGGAGAAGAAAGAAGAAGATTCTTTGGACCTTATGAAACAACTTTTGACTAGTAATTCCATACTCTGATAGGCTCCAAGTACATTGCCTCATATACTCAGAACTGATGCTAGTTCATAAGCTTTAGGGGCAGTTTTACTCCAAGGGGAGAAGGCCAATGAAAGACCTGTTGAATATGCAAGCCGACTACTCACACCTGCTGTAATGAAATATCACACTAGAGAAAGCGAAGCTTTAGCAGTTGTGTGGGCCGTGGAGAAATTTAGAGGCTACCTGGATGGAGCTAAATTCATTATCCAGACTGACCACCAGCCATTGAAGTGGTTAATGTCTTTAAAATCACCTAGTGGCCGATTAGCTCGATGGGCTTTGTCTTTACAGGCTTATAACATGAGAATTGAACATACACCTGGAAAGGTAAATGTAGTGGCTGATACTTTATTCCGGCCACCCCTAGAAACATCTCAGACAGAGGTAAATTTAGTTATTGTTGATTTGCACAGAAAAAAAAAAGACATCAGAAAGAAACAGTTAGAAGATCCGGATGTATTAAAAATAACTTCTTGTTCCGAATCACCGGATCCTGAATCAGTGGAATTTAATACATGGACTGACCACGGTTACATTATGACCGAAGGAATCTTGTATCGCTATGATTCGGAGAGTGAGATCCAAGAAGAAATACAATTAGTGGTACCGAAAAGCAGGATTTTTGAAATTCTAGAGGAATACCACGATTCCCCCTTAGCTGGTCATTATGGTATCGATAAAACCACACAACGAATACATTCCAGATACTATTGGCCAGGAATGAGAAAAAGTGTTGCCGAACATGTGTCCAGCTGTATTGAATGTCAGAGATATAAAGTGAGAAATTGCCTGCTGGTTTAATACAAACACCTGCAATAGCCAAGCGATTTGAAGTAATATCTATAGATCTCTTTGGACCTCTTCCTGGAACCGATGGTGAAAAATGGATCTTTATAATCGGAGACACTGCCAGCAGATGGATAGAAATATTGCCGGTCGCACATGCTACTGCCAAAGCTTGTGCGCAAACTCTTGTTGATGAGGTGATACACAGATATGGAGTTCCCCGAAGGGTTACCAGCGACAAAGGAGTACAATTTGTTAGTGAAACCATGCAGTATATAGCACATTGTCTTGGTTTTCATCAGCACTTAATACCTGTGTATCATATCGAGTCTAATCCTGTGGAACGGAAAAACCGCGACTTGAAAATCCAACTATCAATTCTAGTAGGAGGGTGTCACACTCAATGGAAGAATAAACTACCCTCTGTGCGTTTTGCCATGAACACCTCAAGATGTGATAGTACTGGATATACCCCAGCCTATTTAACATTTGGACGAGAGCTCAGCACACCCGATGATGTTGATGACAAAGGGACATGAGAGCTATCACTGAAAATTTCATTCCTCAAGTAACCTCTTATTTAATAAATATTGCTAGAACCTTGAGAGAAGCAAGAGAGCTTCATGAAAAGTCCCAAGATAAATCAAAACACTATGGTGACCAAATGAGAAGAACTATTCTCCATTACAAAGAGGGAGATCGAGTGATGGTGGATACACACCCAATTAGTAAAGCCAAAGATGCCTATACTTTAACAACAATTGAAGTTGAAACTATAGAGGCAACCGAAAGTCCCACCATCAAATTACATACGTCAGCTATGGCACCTTATGTGGGAAAAGGAGAAGTTCCAACACCAGTACGACCTATTCGCCCACGTGGAAGACCCATGAGAAGACGCCTTATTGAAACTGATAATATACCCGAAGGTGACGAGGCCATTCCTCAGAAAGACACAGATGTACTGCAGTGCTGATGTCAATGAAAGTTCTAACGAAGAAAAAAAATTAAAATGACGATGAGCCCAGATTAGATGGACGACCCAGACGCCGCATTAAAGCTCCAACTTGTTTATGTGGCGATCATACATCAAAAATTGACTTGAAGTATCCCCGAGGATGTGGGGAAAGTCCGAAAGGGGAGATTGTAGCCATTAAGACACCAAAGCATCTTCTACCTCGGTAGAAAACACCCAATGACGCCAGTCCATGACCAGTCGTGAAAAAAAGGTGTAAAAGAGAATTTTCATAGAAAGCGTCAGCCAGCGTTGCCAACACGTATTTTCTACTTCAGAAATCTTTATTGTTATATTTTTGCCTGTTGTTCAATTAGTACAGTATTTTGAAATAAATATTTGGGAATTTAGTTAATCAACGTGTACCGTATTACATTTTTTTCCCAGTGCACTCCTGATCAAAACATCCCAGTTAAAATAGATAATTCTCCTTTTCAATGTTAAATATAAGCGTACGCCTCTGTAAAAGCTCACAATATTATAAAGATGCTGAGTAAGCGGTACTGCACTGGAAAAGTACCATCATATCAAGGTTTCGGCCACATGATTGCACCGTCAGTGATATTTTATTATAAATACGGCGCGCAGAGCCTTACCTCCACATTCTATTATTTTTAGCTTAGACTACAGTAATTAGAATCAAGATTTTTTTGTTATCGGCTTTTCGCCGCAGCAATTTGAGTCTAGTTTTTTTTGTTGTAACTTCTTAGTTTTTAATAAAATAAATAGTTTTTAATGAATGAAAAATATAATCTACCTACACCATCAAAATCTAGAGGTTCCATTATATTACGCGGAAACAAAAAATGCGAGCAAACCTTTTATGTATAAGAGTTTGTACCTTTGCCAAATTGTATTAAATTTTCTTTAAAATAAAGACGAAACAATTTGTATCTAAAAAATATGGATCGGCGTTTATTATAGTGGGATGGCTTGTTATTGAATAAGAGTATAAGCGTGATTAAAATATCTTCTATATAATATTTCCCAACTTACTTACCTACTGGCTGTTCCCACCATCACAAGGAGTTTGTAGAGAAATGAAACTCAAACATTATCTATACATATTATATTAAGCTGTATTTACACTTAAAATGATACTAAATATTAATGATTCGAAATACGTAACCGATTCATGCATAATCTTATTGCACTCTTACAAAAATAGTTCAGTCTTTATTTACAAAAATGACGTTAAAATATATCGTGGCTTCAACCAAAAAATTCCTTCAAACTTGTTTACCAAATTAGGCTCTTCTCCGCTTGCATGTTCATCTTATTAAGCAAAGCCACGACATTTTTTTTTTTAGATTAAAGACAAGTAAAAATATAAGAAGCTTCAACGAAAATTTTCTATACAAGACACTAAATATATTTTTTTTTTTGCATCCTAAAATACGGAATAAGTGTTTACAGGACAAATTGTGCTTTTATAATATAAATTTTAAATATTTTCCATACAAAATGTTTTGGTAAAAGGAATGTGATACAATTATTACAACTTATAGTGTGATATTGGTTGAGATTATTTTAGACATATTTTTTTATACTGAAATACAAATATCATTCTAAAAAACAAAAAGTAAAATGTATTTAAGCTTGTTAAAATTATACTTATAAGTATATAAATGGTTTATACACTGATTTAAAATTTTACAATAAGAACCAAAGAAAATAAATGGTGCTTCCATTCAATAACTTCAAATACAGTGTAAAAATTGATATATAAATAGGAAATTCTACACATTCAAAAATGTAGCATGGTAACATTCACATAGGTATATTATGTTGACAACACTCAACATCAAGTAGGTCCGTTTTTTACTTGTTGTCTTTTTTATTTTCTAAGCGAAATTTACATTTATTTAATTCAGTTTATCACAAAGGGGTTAAACAAAATACGTTTTGGGTTACGGAATTGTTTTTGTTTTAAACACTCACTGAATTCTGTAGTACCAGTTTTTAATTAATCAAAAAGTAAACACATACCGACAGGATGTAGGGGATGTTAGTTAATATCGGACGTATTTGGTTACTGTTGGAGGATTGGCCTTGGTTTGAACCATATACGGCCGGCTGGGCTGAGGGTTCAATAAGATTCTCCATATCTGAAACAAGGAATTGAAAATTGGACTGGTTTGCCATTACTTGACTCTTAAATTTATGGTAAGTTTTGGAACGCAGCTGCATGGCACCATGTTTACATAATTTCAAGTAATTATATAAAAAAAGTTTCTTACCGTTAGCTCTGGTAGTAAAATGAAACACTGGTGATAACTTATTCCAACCCTGTTCATTTTTCGCTTGCACCCTGACCTCGTAAGTAGTTGCCGACTGTAAATTTTGAATGGTGTAAGTCATTTTTTGTTTTGTTACACCGGGATATGGCGGAGGGTTGGATCCTGGATAGTTAGGGTTGATCACTCCTGGACCAGCAATGTTCTGCAAAAAAAAAAAAAAATTATTAATATTAGAACGTAGAACAATAAGAAAAAATCTTACCATAGAAACCCATTCGGGTTTCATTCCAACTAATCGAGTACCATTAATTCTAGAATTTCTAAATTCATTAGAGTCTTCTCTGTGTTGATGGTGGGCGGAATGGTGTCTTGGCTGTTGCCTGTAGAACAGTCTGTATTCGACAATGGCAGAATGACTGTTGACTGACCAGGATAAGCTGTATTTGTCTCTATCAGTTCCCATTGAAGGAGAATCGAAAACTGCTGTCGTAGCTGACCCGGTTAGGAAAATGTGACCTCGGGATTTTCCGTGGATGTTTGATGCTACGCAACTGAAACAAAATTTGGAGTTGGTTGAATAATTCCTTCAGAATGAGCATTGTTATTCAATTCAATAGGTTTTCAAGAAAATTTATTTGCCTTGTAGATGATTTATTGTTAATGTATTTCAGCAACCATTGAATTTCGCATTTAATGATTTAGCAGTATTCACATACATTTATAAATAATATTCTTGACAAATTTCGGAATACCAAATACTTGAGTTCGATTGATTTAAATTCGGCTTTCTCGCAATTTCTAGTGGAAAAATCCTCTCGAGAGTATACGCCGTTTGCCATACCAGGAAGAGGTTACTTTCAATTCACCAGGATGCCCTTTGGACTAACCAATAGTCCTGCTACCTTCCAAAAATTGATGGATAAACTTATCGATCCAACTTTGGTGCCATACTATTTCAGTTATCTTGATGACGTGATTTGCGTGGCGGATACCTTTGAACGACATCTACAAATCTTGGATTCTGTATTTTGCCGCTTGTTGAGGGCTGGGTTGACTATATCTCCAGAAAAGAGTTGGTTCTGTCGTTCAGAGTTGAAATACTTGGGATATATGGTCAACGAAAAAGGTCTGTCTGTGGACACTGATAAGGTTAGGGCAATCGTAAACATTCCTACTCTAACCGAGGTTCGAAGAGTTATAGGCATCGCCAGCTATTATCGGTGCTTCATCCCCAATTTCTCCACCAAAGCAGCTCCCATGACGGCCTTATTGAAGAAGGGTCGCTCTTGGAGTTGGTCTTCTGAGTGTGAAGATGCTTTCAAATATCTTAGAGTGTCTCTCTTCCGCACCCATTTTGAGTTGTCCGAAATTTTCAAAGCCTTTCATAGTTGAGACGGATGCTAGTTTATTTGGCAATGGTGCTGCTCTTCTTCAGCAACACGAAGAGGATACTAAGGTCATTTGTTATATTTCCCGGTCCTTGTCGCGTGCCGAGCGCAATTATTCAGCTACCGAAAGAGAACTTCTGGCGATTATTTGGTCCATTGAATATCTAAGGCCATACCTAGAGGGGTATAGGTTCAGAGTGATCACCGATCATCATTCGCTTATTTGGCTACATAATCTTAAGAAGCCTTCCGGGAGATTGGCTCGTTGGGCTCTTCGTCTTCAGAGCTTTGACTTCGAAATAAAACATCGAAAGGGAACATTATCTGCCTGACCTTCTTTCTCGTTCAATACCAATTGTGAATTCTGTAACTGCGGTGTCTGTCGATGTTAAAGACCGTTGGTTTGTTCGCCAGAGCCAGCAGATTCTTGAACATCCCTTAAAATTTCCTGACTGGAGAGCTGAATCCGAGAAAGATTATAAATATGTTCCCTGCAAATATCCGGGATTGCACAGTAAGTCTGATGCATGGCGTGAGGTAGTTCCTAAGGAACTTCAGCGGAATATTGTTGTGGAGTTTCACGATTCTACCAAGGGTTGTCACGCTGGTATATTTAAAACCTTCGAGCGTATTAAGTTGAAATATTATTGGCCGCGCTTGCGCACGGTTGTAACAGCATATCTCAAGCATTGCTCAGTATGTGCCTAACACAAGAGCTTGCATCAAACCCCTGCCGGGCAAATATGTAAACGACCCGACGTCGTGAGACCTTTTCAGATGATTTGTGTAGACATAGTTGGGCCATTGCCCAGATCATCGCGGGGTTACCGTTTCATCTTGGCGGTGTCGGATTATCTTTCGAAATATATCATTCGTTTCCCTATGCGTTCCACGACCGCCTTTATGGTCTCGTCCTTGATTGAGGAGTATGTCTTCCTGGAGTATGATGTTCCTTAATTTCTTATATACGATAACGGTGTGCAATTTAAGAGCCGCGAATTCACTGTGTTGTGTGAGGAGTATAAAATCAAAATCTTATTCAATGCCGTTTATCACTCACAGGCTAATCCTGTAGAGCGGGCTCACCGAACCATTAAAACCTCTTACGTTTCCGAACATCAGCGTAAATGGGATAAACTTTTGCGGAAAGTTGCTTGCGCGACTAATACTAGTGTTAGCGAGGTGACTAACGTTACGCCATTCTTTGTCGTATTTGGAAGGGAGCATATTTTGTCTAGGGAACTACATAGAAATGGTATATCGGAGACGGATCCAGTGAATTTTACTGATTCCAGCCGTGGTGATCTTTTGAAGGAGGTGTTTGTGGACATCGGTCGTAGAATCAAACAGGCGCACAATAGGACCAAGGCTTGTTATGATTTGCGTCGGCGGCCTACTCAATATACAGTGGGGGACCTTGTATATCATAAAAATCGTGTACTATCAAATGCTGCCAATGCATTCACTTAGAAATTGGCACCTAAATATGTTGGTTTCACCCTAGCGAGAGAGCTTGGAGATCCAAATGTAAAGAAGGTAGGACTTTGGCATGTTCAGGATCTTAAACCTGTAACCACAGATTTTTTTTTTGTCTTCTCTTATTGTATGTTGAACACATCTTGAGAAAAATTTAATTGAAATTTTTCTCACAGGGGAAAGAGGGGAGTTAATACGTTCATAAATTTCTTTGTGACCATTTCAGGCATATTTTGTTATTATTAATTTCTTCATATGATTATATTCTGGTACGGCACTGTCCTTCCGCAGCAACCAAGATTTTGGTCGATATGCGCCCAAGTTTCGGGTACCTTTCATGGTACTTTGCATTGTAGCAACGGCGGTTGTTGATAATTGAATATTTTGTGGCTAAAATGCTTGGAATCGACTCCGACTATTTTTCGGTAATTTTTTGGGTTCACGAATAGTTGTCGCCGCCGGTACTATCGGTAGAATATTGCTCGGTACTATGTTGAAAATTTGATTGTGCTAGTAGATGGCGTCAATGCGTCATATTTCCATTATTTGAAATATTCAAAGATTTTATGGATTCTGTGGCCGTGTTTTCATGTGGGATCGATTGATTCGAAGTATCTAATGAGAGGACAAGACGTGATTATTGGTTGTTTCTTGAAGTGACGTTTGTCTTGTGCTACTTACACTTATTTTTAAACTAGGCGTGTTTTCCTACGCCAAGTCCTTGATGTTGGGTGCGGTGAACGTGTGACAAGAGAGAAAACGACAAGGTGACCAGGTGGTTTTGAATCGAGAGATCGCACATAAAGGCTGAATTGCTCAAATTGGAGACGAATATCCACTATTGTGGGATTTGTGTGACAGGATTTGACGGTTTTCTGTACCCCTGTATCCAATACAGCCCCTCCTCTCTTGAAGAATCCTCCAAGGGCCTCTCAGCGACCAAGGTATTCCTCCACATAGTTTTATTGGTGGTGATGTCCAGGTAGTTTGCCCTTCCAATTTATATTGGAATTTCGCCGTAGTCCGCGGTTCACGGTGCCTTGCAGCTAATGTGAATACCAAGTGCCAGACTGGTTAGAAAATCTTCCTCTGGAAGCGTCTCAAAGGTCTCCATGATCTTACTCCTTAGACAGACAAGCGTGGAACTTCTGCAGTTATCAGAACAAACGATAAGTACCCCGCTGTGGGAATTTCCCTTTTACTGTTACTAATTTCATATTAAATTAAGCAAGCATAATTAGACTAACCTAAGTTGCATTTGCTTAATATGTTTGCATAATGTTTTTAAGGCAAATGCTAGTGTAAAGTGGAGGAAACTCGCACTTCAGTACAAAAGATCGTATAGACAATAATATATTAAAGTCTTATTATCCCGTTTAAACTGCAACAGTCCCAAGAGTGTGGAAGTACCAGAAAAATGGACTTTTAAGCCCGTAGTTCAGCTTTTCGAAAAAGATGATAGGACTGACATCGGAAACTACCCTTATGTCTCCTTATTCTCCCAGCAGACTGGATTTTCCCATGGTTTCAGCACTCTTGACCATTTCCTGGCCATAAGGACTATCATAGAAAAGGCTAAGGAATATAATCTAGATCTCGTTTTCATGGATAATGAGATATAATTCGATAACATTGAGCTATGAGCCGTAACATCATAACAACACAAAAACTTTACAGAAAATACGAGATAATACTTATTTAATTCAAAGAGATCTGACAGTGAATGCAGGACGTATTCAAGAAACTAGACTGGTTTAGACATGTCATCACTATAAACGCCAAATGACTTAGTCATCTATGGTTCGACGATAACATCATTTGCCACAGTTTTGGAAGAGTCCCAATTGATGACGATGACTATTCAGTTGGCAAGAACATCAGAATAAATAGACCGAAAGCCTCTCGTATCTCGTTATTCTCCCAGTTATAGAAGGTGTGTATGGAAATCATCACCAACTGTTTCTCACCTAAGAGGGGCAGCTTACAGTCTTTTCAACATGCTGGATTCGCCATGGTTCCAATACTAATTATCTTCTTACCATAAAAATCCTGCTAGAAAGAGCCAACGAATACCTTTTCCGTGTATCACTCATAACATATTCAGAAATGCATGGAAATTACAGCTCAGAGAGAAAACCAATTCCTGTCAAATTAAGAGAAAAATCAGACGGGAAAATGCTATATCACCACAAATTCTCACGCTGGTAATGGAGGATGTATTCAAGAAACTGAACTAATCTAAACATAGGCTATATAAAAAGGAAATGAAGTTTTGTCGGTTACAACAACCGAAAAGCGTGGAAATTGAAAATGAAGAGAAAGTTAAGGAAAATTGGAGAATTAAAAATGTTGGTCTTGGGCAGGATTCGAACCCGCGTTTTCAGCACTGCCGGTGCTACGCTCCAACCAATTAAGCCACCGCGACCCTACAGATCTTTTTGATTTTTTGTTTGGTGTTGTTAGAGGAAGTCGCGTGGTTCTCCGCTCCTTACCAAACTTCTCAATAATCCAATAGACCCACACATTTATGGCATCGGTTCTAGTTCGAATAAGTTACCCTATTACTATATATAGGTTGCGTCCATGTGTGTTAAAACTTGGTGTATGCGATGCCCGCATGAACAATCTTGAAAGGAAATGAAGTTTTGTAGGTTACATCAAACAAAAAGCGTGGAAATTGGGAAATG